GATATGCTGACTCTGTAAACCGCTTAGAGAGGGCTGAAAGCCCTATGAAGCGGTATATAAGTCTAACTGCTATTGCTATTGCTATCTCTGTTCTGATTTGGAATAAGATGAAAATGTTTCTTCTAACTAAAAACATTGATTTCTGTAGATAACGGAAGGGCAGGAAATTAGCTGAGATCAAATACATTAGAGGGGGAGGAGGAGAGGGAGAGGAGGAAGAGGAAGAAGAAGAGGAGGAGGAGGAGGAGGAGGAGGAGGAGGAGGAAGAAACAGGGTGCAGAATGAGAAATAGGAAAAGGATCAGGAAGGAGAAGGAGATGAAGGGTGGGGAGAGAAGGAGGACGAGGGAGAATGAGAAGTAGGAAAAGGAGAAGGATCAGAGGGAGGAGGAGCAGGAGGAGCAGGAGGAGGAGGAGAGATCGCTACTACTATTATTGCTACTATTGATAGCAATACACCTGAAGCTATTTCTATCAACGAGGAGTTAGCTTGGCCTGGTCTAACACAGCGGGTCTCCACCTAAGAAACTCCAAGATGGCTGGACTACAACTCCCAGAATCCCCCACCCCCCATCTTCATGTTGCCTGGTTAGGAAACCCTGGTCTGACAAGGCCCAGAGTCCTTCTCGCAGGCTTTCCGGCTGAGTTTTGCTAGCAAGGATTCCCAAGGGCTACGCTACTCCTTCCCTGCCTCCAGGTGAGGCATCCCTTTACCTGCACAGGTGCACACGCCCACCGATCCCCCCGGCCGCATCGTAAAGCACTAGAACCCAAGTCAACCCCCTGGAAACCACCCAAAGGGACTCGGAGGAAGGGCAGCCTTGCTTATTTCAATTACTGTATGGAATTATTTCACCGTGGCAAGAATGGCCTAGAGGTGGAGCTCTTGCCTCACAATCAGCAGAGACTGTGAGTTCGATCCCAGGTAGAGGCAGATATTTATCTCCCTGGACACAATGAGAATATATATCTGTCGAACAAAACTCCGCATTGGCGACAGGGAAGGGCAGCTGGCCATTAAAACCCTCTGCCAGTTCCACTCAGTTGATCAAGGGATTACGGGGTCGTTAAAAGACGACGATGCAGTGCAGGGGGGTCCAACTTGCAGCTCCGTGGGCCAGGTATGTCACGCGCTGGCCACGCCCACCCCCATTTTAGCAAAGGGGGAGGAGCTGCCATCTGCCATGTGACGACGACGTGACGATGTGAGTGTGACCCCCCTGAGGCAATGAAATTTCATCTTGATCTATGTTGTGCCTTCAAAGTGACCATAAAGTCACAGGAGTGGTGCGGTGGCCAACTGGGAGGCCGTGAGTTCAATCCCAGGTAGGTGCAGGTATCTCTCTCTCTCTGGGCACAACGAGAATCTTTCTGCCGAACAAAACTCCACATTGGCAACATGAAAGGCATCCGGCCACTCAGCTAGCCCCATTCAGTTGCCCAAACTCCACCTTGCAAGGGATTAGGGGGGGGGGCATTAAATGAGGATGACGATGTAATTATTTCACAGGGTGAGGGTTCCGGGGACCTCCAAATTAAAACAACGCTTACTGCAGGATGCCAAGTGGAATCTGGACGTGCTCCATGGGAATCGTGTGAGCCAGTTCCTCCAAGGTGTGGACATACTGGATTTTGCTGATGAATTTCACGCTGGAAAAAAAGAGAGAGGTGCTTAGTTTCTGGCTTCTACAGGCAGTCCGTGAACTCGCAGCTATTCGTTTAACAACAGTCCCAACGGGCTCGGAAAACGTGGCTTCAGGCTCATCCTCAAAGTGCCACACCCCTCCTAAAGTCACCGGATCACGATTGAAGCCGTAGGGCAGTGGTTCCCAAACTTGGCAACTTTAAGACTTGTGGACTTCAACTCCCAGAATTCTCCAGCCAGCTGTGCTCCAGCCAGTTGAAGTCCACAAGTCTTAAAGTTGCCAAGTTTG